TGTGAGCCCAGCACTCAGGAGGTAGAGGCAGGAGCATTGAGGGTTCGGGATCATTCTAGGGCTACACAGTAAATTTGAGGATGGCCTGACCTACAGAAAACGCTGTCTCAAGGAATAAAGAGAGAGGGGGGATAGGAAAAACAGAGACAGACAGACATAGAGATGTTGTAGCGTTAAATAACAAAGATTTGGATCCTAGAATAAGTATCTCTCAAACAAATACTTGTGACAGGGGTGACCACAGATATATTCACTTGGACAAGGGAGGGGAACAGAGAAAGCTAGGGTGAATCTAGGGTAGATGTTAAAAGACCTAGAATGCCACCCTGAAGAATTATTTTGTTCATGAATGTGTTGGCATGTGTGGGTGTTTGCTCCCATGTGGAGGCCAGTGAATGATTTTGGGGGAGCCCTGTCAAGGGTGGTCCTCATTAATTCTCTCCATGTTCCCTTGAGATGGGGGTCTCTCCCTGAACTCAGTGTTTTCTGGTTTTACACTAGTTTGCTGGCAACTGGTAAAGCCCCAGCATCTTCCTGGCCCACATCCCAGCACTCCTTCATCACAAACAGCAGTATTACGGTAATAGGCGTGCACAACCATGACCAGTGTTTTATATGGGTGACGAGGATCCGAACTAAGGTCCTCATGCTTGCTCACCAGCACTCTGGCTCACTGAGCCTCCTCCCCTACACTGCTCTGGAGCATTTATACTTCACAGAGAAGTGAATGGCAGTGACCAGAACCCTTCCTAAGCAGAGATCTGTGCTGGGAAAGATAATCCGCCATGCAGCTTTAACACTAAAAATGTTCAAAGTTCATGCTATTTTCTTCATCTTATTTTTGTCCAAAAGATATAAAGTAGACTGAGTGTCTGCTAATTTTCGATACTCGTTTTGACTGAATCAAGTATGGCTTGTTGAGTTTACACACTTTTAAGTGTTACTGAGTAGCTGGGCAACCTCAGTGTCCTTGATTATAAAAACAAAACTGAATTGCTCACTAACTGTCTTAAGGCTTGTTTCCATTGACCTACAAATGTCCCCAAAGCTCAGTCAGCCCCACCTGTACAGCTGGCCTTCATGACAGGCTGCCCAGCTTCCTTGTGGGGTGACTCTCCTGCTGGGACTCTCCTTGAAGACTAGAGCAATTTGTGAAATGCCAGATCACATTTGTAACCGATGGGAAGAAGTCGGCAATAGAAGCATTGCCAGGGTTCTCCTGTTGGTTGCTCTTTGCAGGTTGGAGGAACTGATGAATCTGACCTTGGGAAACAGCTGACTGTGCCACTGATTGAGGGAGCAGAGGCTCCAAGAGTGGCAGAGCCTGGCTCTGTCACTGATGAGAAAATCTTCACATCCTCAGTCCGTAGGTTCCACCCATTTGCAGTAGACGCAGAGATACAAGCGTTAGACTGCAGAAGAAAGAAGGGGAACAGTGACCCCGGAGCTAAGCTTGGGAACTTGCTCCGCACTGCCCCTTGGTTGTCTTGCCTAGTCATCACTAATAACCCAAACATCCCCTGGCACACGCCCTTGTAGTGCTGGGGAGAAACCCAGGGCCCCCTCACACTGGCTGGACTCAGGGCCTTAGCTGTGCCCACTGAGCTGTGCCCACATCCCCACTGGCCTCGTTCCCAATTCAGCCTGTGCATCCTTGGGAAGAGTCATCTTTAAGCCTCTTTAAACCCTAACGGTTTAATTTTTTAAATTAACTGTTATTTGTGTGTATGTGATGTGTGTGTGTGGGTGTTCGTGTCACAGGGCACACATCAGAGGACAATTCTATGACGTCAGTTGTGTCCTCCCACCTTTGCCTGGGTTCTGGGATTGAATTCAGGTCTCCGGTTTACATGGCAGTTTCCTTTACTCACAGTGAACTTTCTGGCCATCCTTGGAGGTTTTTTGTTTGTTTTGTTTTGCTTTGCTTTTGCAAGGATTTTGTTTTTCTTGTAGGAATGATTTGAGAATAAAGTTATAAGATGTCTTCAGATAAATCTACATAGAGATGAATCATACTTGACCATGAGGCAGAAAAAAAAACCTGCTTGCTGAAGTCTGAAATACTTTCAGATTTTTAGAATAAAAACTTAGTTTTTAAGGTAGACTAAAAAAAAAATGTCTGGAGCAGCATGCCTAAAACTATTTAAAGTCAGTGCTTGCCACTGGTTATGCTGAGATGGCCATACATGGTACATGTAGTCTGTACCATGTTCTACTGAGATGGCCATACATGGTACATATATGGTGATGTGGTGTGTACCATGTTCTGATGAGATGGCCACATATGGTACATGTGGTGTGTATCGTGTTCTGCTGAGATGGTCATGTTGCATGTGATATGTACCATGTTCTGCTGAGATAGCCTCATATGTTGCATGTGGTGTGTACCATACACTACTGAGATGGCCACATAGGTGATGTGGTGTCTAGCATGTTGGCGTGAGAAGAATAACTTCCCAGAATGAAGGAGAGCAGCTGGAATACTTCTCTGTCTGCAGGACTTCAGTTTGTCATTTTCTACATTTATTCCAGAGTCTCCGCAGTTTTGACATGTTAGCCTACTGACAGCAGTCACTGAGTTATCATAGTGTGTGTGTGTGTGTGCGCGCGCGCGCGCTGACTTGGGGTGATGGGTAGGGCAGTGTCACCACTACTTTGTTCCTGCTTAGACATGCTCAGGTGTTTTGTTACTAGGAAACTGCTGGGTCTTGGAGGTGGGTTTGTTTGTTTGTAAGTTTCTGTGTTCTGCTTTTTTGATGGCTTCCTCCTGGAAGACTGCATTGCTGTGAATTATAAAGCAAACACTTGAAATCAGCAGAAAGGAAGGATAGTTAGGTGTCCCTGGAGAGTGTTCCAATAGGCTGACATACCAAACCAAAAGCAAAATAAAAGAAAAGAAGAAAAAAAATTGATGCTACTTAGAGCTGTAGTAGTTTATACACGTGGCCATACCTGCTTGCTGTGCATCCTAGTACATCCTTCTCAGAGCTGCCCAGTCAGGTAGAAAGTGAATAGGGGATGCTGAGCCAAGCACCAGGGTATTGATAGACATGATTATTTTTAGGTGGGTTTTATTACCTGGAGGGATCTTCACACTTGACACTGGAGAGTGTAGAAGCCAGCTTGTCTGTGAAAACTTCTCCAGGGAGTTGGGGACACTTGGACAGCTTCAGCTGAGTGACTCGCATGGCTCACGTAGCTCCCTGCTGAGTCTCCTGTCCTAATTATTCCTGAGCAGCTGGTCCTTGTCTGTGAGACTTGAAGGGAGGTCCAAGGGTCCAGGGTGCAGGGCTCTGGGAGGGGAGGAGCTTAAAGAAGAAGATAAAGTCTCTGTGTCCTGTTGCGAGCTGTGTAACTTTAAACGGATGGGAAATCAATTTTTGTGTCTACCGGAAGAGTTGACAAAATGGGTCATAAATCCGTGGCCACTGATGGAAACAGCAATGATGTTCCTAGGAGCTAGACCAGTGGCTCTCAACCTAATGCTGCTACCCTTTAATACAGTTCCCCATGCTGTGGTGAGCCCACCTGTAAGACTGTTTTCATTGCTACTTCTTAACTGTAATTTTGCTGCTGTCATAAACTGTAATGTAAATAAATATCTTGTGTTTTCTGATGGCCTTGGGTGACCTCCGTGAAAGGGCAGTTTGACCACCAAAAGGTCATGACTCACAGGTTGAAGACCACTGAACTGAGTTATGGCTCAGCAGTTAAGAGTGCTTGCTACTCTTTCAAAGGACCCAACTTTGGGTCCCAGCACATATGTTGGATGGCTCCTGTAACTCTGGTGCCAGGAAATATGACATCCTCTTCTGGCCTCTAAGGGCCAGGAGGCACCCATATGCACATGGCCTACACTTACAAAGACACATAGACATAAATAAAAATAAAATAAATCTTGAAAAGCAAAAAGGAAAGGAAGAGGAACCAATGAAACAAAAGATTTTGGCTCAAATATTGAGTGTACTTTGACGTGGAGTTTGCAGCATTCAGAGGGCTTGTAAGACAGCCAATTACAAATCAGTCTGTTCTGCACACAAAATCTAGCACCATGAACATCTGGAGAAGCAACAACCAGAGATGGTTTCTATCATCTGAAGCCTGTCTCATTCTAACGATGTCATACTCGGGAGCAGACATGTGAACTCACCTTGATGATGCACAGTTCATTGAAAGGATTTTTTTTTCTTTTTTGGTCTTTTGAGACTGTGTTTCTCTGTATAATCCCTGCTGTCCTAAAACTCGCTCTGTAGAACCGGTTGATCTTGAACTCAGAGATGCGCCTGCCTCTGCCTCCCGAGTACTAGGATTAAAGGTGTGTACCATCACCACCCGCCTCATTAAAAGGACTTTTTAACAAATGGTTTAATAATCACAAAATTGTTGATTTATTTTTGTATTTCACTCAACCATGTTTGAACAGTTGGATTGATCATCCTAAGCTGATCTATTTTGATATTCTGAGGCTGTGTTCTCAAGAAAAAAATCAATAAAACTATTTTAAAATTAAATTTATATATGTTCACAATAGAGGATTTGATATAGTGATTACTGTATTCCAGCACAATTACATTAAGAAAAAGTGTCACGAAGTGACATGCATAGATATGTAAGAAGAAGGCTAAACTGTATAACATTTCTTTCATGAACCCTCTTTAAACATTTAGGTCTGAGGAGATAGCTCAGTTGGCATAGTGACTGCTGTGCAAATACGGGGACCCACTTCTAATCCCCAGAACCCAAAGAGAACACAGGACATACACTTGTAATTGCTGCCACGGGGAGGTGGGAACAGCCCCATCTCTGGCGCTTCAATTTACGAAAACATAGTTCTCAGTTTTAAAATAGAAAATTAGTGTATGGAATCCAGGAGACAACCTTTGATACCCCTGGCCCACAGCATCCTAGAAGGCTTATACCATAACGGGTCTTCGAGAATACGCTGCATCTCTGAGACATACTTAATGTCACCAACTTATAGTGTCACCTTTGTTCTACAGGATGGTCTGACACCGCTGCACTGTGGGGCAAGAAGTGGCCATGAGCAGGTGGTAGAGATGTTGCTTGACAGAGCCGCACCCATCCTTTCAAAAACCAAGGTGAGGTCTTCGGTTTCTGAACATGGTACCGTGCTCGGGTCTGCTTCCCTTCGCTGTTTTTATCTGAGCCTTTGGAATGAGAGGAAACATTGACACCCGTAACTACTTAAGGAACATAAGTTTGTCAGATCTTTGGAGGAGCTCCAAATAAGTTTGGAGACTGGGGAAATGGCTGAGAAGACAAAGGCTCTCTCTGCCATCATGAGGACTATGTATGCTTCAGCTCACCAGCACCCATGTGAAAGTTATAAAGACCAGACAGGTGTGGTGGCCATCTGCAATCCCAGAGTTCAGGAGGCAGAGACAGCAAAATCTCCCTGCAAGCTTGCTAGCCAGACTAGCCAGAACTAGTAAGAAGTGGGTTCAGCAATAGACCCTCTCTCAATAAGCAAAGTGGAAGGAGATCAAGGCAGACAGATGGTCTGCTGTTGGCCTGGGGCATCTGCATGCAGGTATGAGTGCACGCACACCTACACACATGTGGATGCCTACACATGGAAACACATGCATGCATACAAAATAAGTTAGGTTTATGAAGCTTTTCTGTATAATGTGCTTTACAGTAAAGCCTTTTTCCGTTTGTTATTTTTGGTCTGTTTTGCTTCTTAATATTACACAATGGTACTTTCAGAGCTCGGCTGACTGCTGCTTTAAACAGACAGAAAGATCTACTTTCCGGCTGGGTTCTGAGTCTTTTTCTACACCCCACCTCCCAGTTGATTTCTTCAGAGTTCATAGGCTGAGGCAGGGCGTTCAGCTGAATGGTAGAGCATTTGCCTGTCTTGCGCTGGGCCCTCAGTTCCGTGCACATTAAAAACATTAAAATTCTGTTTGTCCGTCCCCCCGACTGTGTGGGATTTGGCAGGTAAGCCTGCCCTGCCCTTTTGATTCCCAGCAGTCCACTGGAACCCTCCTGTCGGCTCGCAAAGCCAAGTGAGTGTCTCGCTTCCTGTTTCCAGGTTTTGCAATCACAAGAGAAACTTGAAATTGAAATTGGTCGTAGCAGGGAACCTACACACCCTCGGCTTTGGGATCTGGGGTGAACTGAGAGCTTTGTTATTTTAGAGGGCTGACGGCTCTCTAAAGACATGGTCAGCATGTTCATGTGCAGGTGTGTCCCTGCTCAGAATCTCTCAAGGAGCCAAAGCTCATCCCTGAGGCTAGGCTAGCCAGCAAGCTCCAGGGAGCCACTTGTCAGTCCTATCACTATGGTAACAAGCACATACTGCCATAGCTGGCTTTCTATGTGCGTTCCAGGGAATCGAACTCAGGTCCTCAATGTTGTACAGCAAGCATTTTGACAACTGTGCCATCTCCCTGACCCACCAAATAAACTTCGTTGACTGCCTATTCTACCTGTGCTCACCATATCTTTAAGTTGGTGTCACCTGAGCAGGCTTCCTTTCCCATTGGCGCTCCTTATACTGTTTCAAAAGACCCTCTCTGGTGCTGCAGGTACTTGCTGCCTGGGCTGGACCTTCCTACATTCAGTTGCTAATCATTACAAACCCCTATAGACGTGCCCGCAGGCTGATCTGATTTGGGCATTCCTACATTGAGACTTCCAGCTTAGGCGACTCTAGGTATATTAAGTTAGTGGTTAAATCTCACTGGGATAGAACCCTCTTTCTGTTTTCGACACTGCTTCCCGCTTAGAGTCTCCAGTAAGTCATGTGGTCTCTCAGATTTGTTTACTCAGTCCTCCCTCGAAGACTACATGAAAACATAAAGGAGGATTTGGCAGAAGCGAGAGAGCACAGATGCCTGTGGGTGGCGGTGTCAGATGGGAAATGTCCCAGCCCTTGGAGACACCTCCAGTGTCACGCGGGAGGGGAATACTTTAGGCTGGAACATCCCAGTTCCCCAGGGGTGGCCCAAGTCTTTAAATTCATGTTAATATCTTTGTCTCATCTGCAGCACTCTTTGCTAGGCAGTTTGGGAAAATACTCATAAATTTCTTGCCTTGAAGGAGCACAAATACTGGAAATATATGCCCATCAGCGGTAGTGTGGGGATGGCTAAGGGATTTCTCATTGCTTTGTCTTGGAGGTTTCCATGTCATGCTACAATGCATGCAGAGTTAATAACTGGCCTCAGAGAATTCAGGTGCACCTGGTCCCATAGGCATGCCTACCAGGTCTTTAAAAACTACTGGTGGCTTCTTAAAAAAAAAAAAAATACTTTGCTGTTATTAGAGAGAAAAGGGTTTGGCTTATTTAGCGTTCTAAAATATGTTATTAGTAATTGTAGACCTCCCCGTGGGAAATGGGCCTGCTGAAAATCCCCCAGGCTCGCCCACTCTGCCATCCTACTCAACTGAAGTTTGAGAAGACTGACGTTGACCTAGCCTGCCTTGCTTCACTCTGTTTGGAAAAGAACATCCACTGCAGAGTGAATGTCACTCCAGACATTTTGTGGCTTGAACCTAAGGCCCTCTCTATCCATTTCTTCTCTGAGATCTTGAAATAAATCTTCAGCGGCTTTGCCCAGCACGTGACAAAGAAGGCTAAGTTGATTTAAGATGAGGTCACATAACTGGGAGGATGGTCCTTTTACCCGTCATTGACACAAGGGGGCACCAGATTTCTAGAAATGGATGAAGGTTTCCACTGCTGCTGCAGGAGATAAAATAATGAGCTGCCCTTATTTAGCCATCTACAAGGGTTAAACCAGTAATAGACCAATGGGCTGCTAATTAGTTCTCCCTTTGATTATTTATTTATTTATTTATTTATTTATTTATTTATTTATTTATTTATTTATTTGTAGTTTCAAAAAATAAGAAATCCTGCTAAGAATGCAGTGGATTTCTGGGCTCCTGTGCAACCCATATGAGTTTTAAAGTGGGGAAAGAAATTACCCTTGATGGTTTGTTTTTCTGAGAATTTGAGAAAAAGGGAAAATTTTCAAAGCAGGTGCCACCCAAAACAATCGTCAACACCTTTTAAAAACACAAGGTATTTCCAAACTAAGAGAGTTTTTAACGCCTTCGTGTTTGCCCGTATCTGGCTCATTTGCGCTAAAAAAAAAAAAAAAAAAGCAAAACCGTGAGTCCTCTTTCCTTCTGTGTTCCAGAACGGACTGTCTCCCTTACACATGGCCACTCAAGGAGACCACTTAAACTGCGTCCAGCTCCTCCTGCAGCACAACGTGCCCGTGGACGATGTCACCAATGACTACCTGACTGCCCTCCACGTGGCAGCCCACTGCGGCCATTACAAAGTTGCCAAGGTTCTTTTGGATAAGAAAGCTAACCCCAATGCCAAAGCCCTGGTGAGTTGTCCTGCCGTCCAGTGTCTCACTGACGCACAGGGCGCCTTGCATGTGGGGGGGGGATCGCTCTTCCGGAGATAAAAACAGAAAGTCCATTAAATCTGAGTCCTTTGTTAGTCTTTGCAAGTCCTTGGGAATGGACAAAGCCTTCTGTGCTGGTGGGGACAAAGCTGACAACGCCCTTCAAGGCCTCACTCGTGCTCCTCTTCCACAAGTGAAGGCCTCACACGACACGGTTACAAAAAGACCCACATGAACAGCTTCATCCACCTCACGGTGGTAATGTTACTATTCCCTGGGGTAGACATTTGAGTGGTTTTGTTGTTGTTTTTCTGGCACTTTTACTCATGAAACCAACCAGGCTTGACAACTTAAACCTCTTATCCCAGCACTTGTAAGGTGGAGGCAGGAGGATTACTATGAATTCAAAACCAGCCTAATTTAAAAAGTGAGTCTTTGTTTCAGAAAAAAAAATATACACGTGTGTATATGTTTATATGTGTATATATATGTATGTATTATATGTATATATAATTTTTAAAATGCAGTTGCACATAATAGCAGGAGAGATCTGAGTTCGAGGCCAGCTAGGTCTATAAAACAAGTTCCAGGCCACCCAGAGCTACACAGTGAAACCCTGTCTTAAAAACAATAGTAATACTTGTCGAAGAATTTGTGAGCTGAAATGATGTTAACCTCCGGTTTTTCTCGGTAAGACAAGGTTTGTTAGGGTTAAAATAAATAATCCTTAGTAAGGTGTTTATATTTCATTCAGAATAAGCACTTGGCTCAGGGAAAGGATGAAAATGCCCAGCTTTAGAGAAACCATTCATTTACTAGGGATCTTGCGGTATAGGCTGCATCCAACCAACTCTTCCAGGTAGGTATCTGCTTCCCTCCTCCTTTGCTGCACTGTCCTTCAGAGCTATCTAGACTCTGGCCTCCAAGTTCAGGTGCCTGAAACTCAGGGTTGGGGGAGGGGATTGGAATTCTGCACGCAGTGGCAGGCCGCTCCTTTGTCATTGCAATCTCAACAGCTTCCACCGAAAAGTATTTGAGGCGCTGTTTGACCTGCCCAGTGTGTCAAAAGCCTCTGCATTCTGAGAAAGGAGGGGAGCAGTGAGTGACCGTGACTCATTCATTTTTCCATATGAGAAAAAAAAAAAGGGACCTTAAAGCAGGGCGTGTGCTTAACTCTCTTTTTCCTATGACTAAAGTTTTCCCAGCAGAGGGGCATTGTAGATACTTACCCTGGGATGAACTATGGCCAAAGTAATGGTCCCAGCAGCCTCCTTGGTGGCACCCGCTGTGACTTTGCCCTCAGCTCTTTGACTTTGCCCTGAGACCTTAGTATTGTACATTTCCCTACTAACAGCTGAAATGGGCTGCCCAGTCTCAGCTTTTGGGCAGAACAGTCTGGTGGGTGATTTGTTTAAAAGCCAATTCTTTTATAAGTTTAAACATTCAAGCAAATGACTTATTGAGTCATCTAAATTCTAGTGTCTTTAGAGTAAGCTTGTGCTCAAGGGTTTTGTTTTGGTTTTGGTTTTGGTTTGGTTTGGTTTGGGTTTTGTTTTTTCAAGACAGGGTCTCTCTATGTAGCCCTGCCTGTCCTGCAGCTTAGTCTGTAGACCAGGCTGGTTTCAAACTCAGAGTTTTCCCCTACCTCAGACTCCTGAGTGCTGGGATTAAAGGCGTGCCCCACCACAGACCAGCCTTGTGCGCTTGAGTCTTAAAACTGCCTTAAAACTATGGAAGAAATGAAACTCTCCAGCGCTCAAAAAGAACAATGTCCTGCCACACAAGTCGGGGACAAGTCAGAACAGGCACTGGCGATGGTTGGCTGTGCAAACAAAAGGTTGGCTTTGCAAACCACCTTTTGTGATCCTTGTGCCCATGTTTTCCCCAGCGGCTTTTATGTTTGTAGTGAGGCAGAAGGGAACATTAGCTCCATAGCTCCATGCAGAGAGGAATGAGAAGTGCTCAGTGAACTACGCTGGTCCCTAGCTACCGAGTCTCAGGAGGCTCAACTCGAGATGTAATGTTTGGGGGGGATCCAGGTAAGAGGCAGGACACTAATGTCTCCCTAGAAGACAGATCCATCCCACCGGCATATGTGATTTTGATGGTCTAAGTTTACAGATCTGGACAGCAGTGGTTTTGTAAGGCTCGTGATCCTGTACAGAGCTGGCCAGAGGCAGGAAGAGGGTGGGCACTTGAGACATTGTAAGTCAGGCAAGTTTAATATGAAGAAATCACTGGCTAGATTGACGTCAGGCAAGCCAGTGCTGGCACAAGCATTTAAAGACCCCCCCCCCCACTGACACCAAAAAAAAAAAAGTAAGGAAAAAGGAAAAGTACATTAGCTAGTGTGATGGCACGTGGCTGTAGTCCCAACAATTTGAAGGGGAAAGTAAGAGGGCTGGAGAGATGGTTCAGTGGTTAAGAACTTAAGCTGCTCTTCCAGAGGACTCAGGTTCGACTCCTAGCACCCGAATGGCAGCTTAGAATTGTTAGTAGCTCCAGTTCTAGGGGAATCTGACCTCCAGGGCATTGCACGCACCTGATGCACAGATTTACATGTATCACCATACATATAAAATAATAACTAAAAAAAGGAAACAATCGGAAGACGCATGTCTGAGTCCAACCTGGGCTACATCATGAGACTGGGAGTCAAAAATCAAAATTAGATTTTTAAAAATATTTGGAACAGTGAACTCCGAAATAAGGATGTGTGTGAACGTTTTGCCTTTCCTTATCAGGAACTTATACCCAACTTATACATCCTGCTTATGACCACCTGGGAACCTTACAAGGAACCGGTTCAGACTCTTGTTCCTTCCAGGAAAGAAGAGCCACCACGTGTCTAACCTCTTGTGGTTTGGAAGCCTGCAGGGCATCTCGTTCTCCTAAATACCTTTTGTTGCCCACAGCGGAACTGACTCCCGTGGAACGAGGTTAAGCAGATGTATGTGTTTGTCCCTTTACAGAACGGCTTCACCCCTCTCCATATTGCCTGCAAAAAGAACCGCATCCGAGTAATGGAACTCCTTTTGAAGCACGGTGCATCCATACAAGCCGTAACCGAGGTGAGGGGAGGGTGCTTTCAGGGTCCAGGGAAGAAGAGAGTATAGCCTCAACAGTGGGGGTTCCCCCCAGGGAAGCAGCTAGTTTTGCTTGTTATCATCACAAGCAACATTCTTCACCCTTCTCTACAAGGACTCTCAAGATTTAGGAGGGAACAGACACGGGTGTGAGTGCGTGGGTTGGTTGATAGAAGTATACCCCCAGGACAGAAATATAGTTCAGAACACACCATCAAAGTGCAGGCTCCACTGTGCAAAGGTGACCTGGGATAAATCTTGCACTATTTCTCTCGTGGAGGCCAGTTTGTCTCGTAAGGGGCATTTCCTGTCATCTCTTGGCTGAGCTACCAATGATTCACCCTTGGCTGAAGCTGTCTGGCTGAAAATGTCATTGTGCTTGGGCTGCGGAACCTTTTCCCGTGCTATGAGAGAGTAAGAAGGACCGTGGTGCATGGAGGTTTTGCAGTGCATGAGGTGTGGGGGTGCTGTAGTTAGGGGCAGAGAAGCCCTGTGTCTGTCCCCCGAATCCACCAAGATTCCATCCTTGAGAGTCAGCCCTGGCTCTCCACATGGCAAACAGGCCTGTGTTCCCCTCTCCAGACCTGCTTCACCCCATTCCACCTCTGTCTTCCCAACTCGAAGGGGCTCTGCAAATCCTAGCCTTGGCTCTTCTCCTAGAGCAGGCGTGTGATCTGTAAGGCTGACCCTGAATATCTGGGTCACCTTCCCCCAGAAATCTGCCCTTGCTGCCATCCTTGTCCTGGGTGTCTCCATGGGACAGTTACATACATGTTTCTGCCAATGTTCTTATCCAGTTGTCATATCTATGACCCTGTGACTCCCATGGCTCCAGAGCCTTCAGCCCAAACCTTCTATGGGCACAAGCCCACAGTTCAGAAAGTCTTGTTGTATGCTTGATACTGGACACAAACCTCCTGTAACTGCTGCTTGTATGTGGCATTTTTGCCTTGCCTCGAAACACTTTTAAATTCTCAACACACAATGGTTAAGAAAAACGCTGCAAATCTGCCCTTTTATGAGACTTGTGTCTGCCTGTTAGGTACCCTGGTGTTTTTTTGTGTAGAATAGTGCATCTCAGTGCAGGGAAGCCCTTTAGAGGCCAGGTGCATCTCAGTGCAGGGAAGCCCTTTAGAGGCCAGGATTGACCCTGAGACAAATGTTAGATTGAAGCTGTGTTAATGTCTGGAAATGCTGGCCTGTGATGAGGAGCCCCTACCGGACTCCGGCTCCCTGAGAACTTGAGAGGGTAGTTCTCTGATACCTAACTCCTGTGTTCCTGGAAAAGGTCGCCAAACTATAAGAAAAACTCTTCTGTTCTGTTCTTCTTCAGTCTTCACTATTGGAGGCTGAGCAGATAGACTTTATCTTCTTTCATCATGTACTTTTGTATGTACATGTATGTATACGTATATATTGTATGCATATATATTAGTGTACTGTTGTATGTATAGTGTGTGTGTGTGCGCGCGCACGTGCGCGCGTGCGCACGCGCGTGTGTGTAGAGAGAGAGTGTTGACCCCACAGTCTTATCCATGCTAGGCAATACTCTACCACTGAGCTTCAGAACCAGTCCTGTCATATATTTTTTTTTACATATCTCAAATATCTATAGAGATTAATGATACTTTCTCTCTCTTTAAAAATAAAGGACAAGCCTTCTATTCATATTATTTTTATCAGGTTCATGTTTTAACCTAATTAAATTCTGAAAATTAAAAATGGAGCAAAGTTACATGAGTAGTACACAGAAATTGAACTCCTTCACAAAATTCTTATCTTGAGACTTTAATTCTCTTTTTTGACTACTCTATTTATACCTCTCATCGATGGATATAGTCAAAATAAAACACCCTAGAATCAATCAGTTCTGCTTTCCACTGACCTAGTGTCAGGGTAGAAGGTATATCCATGTACATAGGCTTTGAAGCAAACATACTGTTATTCTTGATGTGCCTTAAAACATTTTATTCATTTACAATGCTTATTTGTTAAATGACTGGCATGCCTAATGTTGATTTTCTCTTTGTTAGAGGGATGGTTTGCATTGTAGGTTTCATTTATTCAGAGTTTATGGGAACTCCAAGTCCAGAATAGTATTTGAATTAGTAGCCAACGTTTTACTAATATGTATGTTATTGCCATGCCCCACATGCAAGCACACATATGGGCAAGAAAGTTTAATAGAGATGATGGTAAGTCTTTCATAATCACAGCTCTTTGAGGTTATATTCACCTCATAGAATCTGTGGCATAATGGTGAATAACTCGATTTCTTCTCATTTGACCCCTGAGCTGGTTAAGATAGATGTGTGGATTATGGGTGAGAGGATGAATAAATGAATGGATAGATGAAGTGAATAAGTGGATGGTTGAATGGACGGATGGACAGACGGATGGATGGATGGGTAGAGGGAGGGAAGCAGGCAGACAGGCAGGCAAGCGCATCATGAAGCCCCTTGCATGGTAAGCCAACCATCAACATTGTCTTCCTTCCCCTTTAGTCGGGCCTTACCCCAATCCATGTTGCTGCCTTCATGGGACATGTGAATATTGTGTCACAGCTAATGCATCATGGAGCCTCCCCAAACACCACCAATGTGGTAAGTACCCTTAGCAAAGGAGTTCAGTTGAGTTTTTAAGACACTGAAAAGAGCGGCTTTGGTGGCCTTGCATATTCACTATAAGTAAGTGCATTATCATTTAATTTTACTACTTCAGATACAGAGTTTGACAACATCTTTGGTTTTCTTTGCTTTGAAGGCAAGATCCTGTCGGTATCCATTTGGCTAAAACCTGTTAAGATTTAAGAAATGTGTTCATTGACATGGCAAGGACTTCACTGCTGGATACTAGAGTAGAAACAGTGCTGTCGGATTCTCTGAGAGAATCCATCAAAGTACTGCACGGTGAGGGTGTGTGCTCACACAGTGTTGTCATACACGTGAAGAAGTAATTTCACACAACTTCAAGGTCATCTGCTTTAAGAGGGTTCTACCATGTCATAGCAAGCCTGTGGAAGTCTGCCTTAACCAAGTACCAGGCAATGTTTCCCCACACTAACTGTCATCATTAAACCCATGAGATGATTTAGAGTAATTCCCTGGGCAGCAACTGCTCACCCCGAGCATGCTATATCCTCCGACATTGTTTTACAGACTCTCAAGTTTAACATCATCCTCTTAGCACAATGGACCACAAGCATAAGACTGCCCTGAAGCTTTACACGTATGCCTGATAGGGTTAAATCCAGATGTTATTGTCCTCTGTAAAGAACAACATGTAACAAAGCAATCAACATCCTCCGCTCCTTTCCAGTAAGCCCATGCCTTGTCTCCTGCAAGGCCACCTTCCTGTCTGTCCATTCAGGTCGATGGCCTGTGGGGAAAAGCTTATTTTATCCAAGTCACTTCTGTGTGAATTTTGCTTGTGCAAGCCACTTGTAGTTGGTTTTTATTATTATTTCTATGCTAGGATATGCTCTCTATCAGGCTGTCATTTTTGTTGAATGAAAAACCAATGTCAGAGATTATTGAACAAGAGGGTAGGATAGCGATGGGACAATGCCCTCATGATGGTACCAATAAATGTGATTTCTATGTATTTAGGTCACTGGGGACAGACCACATCTGACCCTCAGTGTGGTTTTGGTGCCCCTGTGTAGTGTTTATGTTTAATCCTGAGAGACAGTATTTAAGAACTGATAAATTGAAACTGATATCCAGCCTGTCCGTTCTTTGAAAATAGGTGTGCCGTGGTAAGACTGGCCTCCAGCACAATTAGACTGTGAGGGCAGGTTAGGTAGGCAGGCATCTCTCCCCTTCAACTTGCTCACCTGCCCTGCTTCATCATCTGTGTCTCCTCTCCACCCTGGGAGCATGGGTACCTTGTCAACCCTGAAGATGCCTCGCTGTAGACCTCTGAGCTGTGCTTCTGAGAGCATCAGCAGCTGGTCCCGTTGAGGTTGCATCCATATCCTTGACACCCTGGCACAGCTTCCTGGGAAAGTATTTTCGTGTTTGTTTCCATATATTTCCAGCAAGGAAGTGCTCCAGGCAATTCTTTGTTTAATAAACAAAGTCACTATAACTTCATGCCAACAAAGCATTGATTTTGAGAGTCGCCATTAATTGACTTTGGCTTGTGTTCCCCAGAGAGGAGAAACAGCATTGCATATGGCAGCTCGGTCAGGCCAAGCAGAAGTGGTGCGGTATCTGGTACAAGACGGCGCTCAGGTAGAAGCAAAAGCTAAGGTAAGGGCAAGACGGGGGACTTTAAAAGTGAAACTGAGGCGGAAGCCTAGGGCTCAGCAAACCTTTTTAGCTGAATCTTTACTGTCTCTCCGAAACAGGTCTTAATAATACGAACTTCCAGTGAGAAAGGGCTCCACCCAATAATCATATAAAAATAATCTACCGTCATGGCCAGTCACCTGTGTAGCACAGCTATGTAAAATAAGGAACTGCCCTGGGTGCATCACAAGCCCCTAACAGGTTAGGAACCAGATCTAGGCAGGTCCAGAGCTCTTCACGCTGAGATGACCTCAGGGAGGAAGTTTCTAGAACAATCGCAGCTTGTAAACACAAACTCACCTTTTGGGTTGACTTCTGTGTTGGCTGGCACAGCCTCAAGAGGAAAAAGGATGTGGTTTTCCTTCCCTCCTATAAAATATAAGAGCATCATGCCCCAGATGTAGATGAGGGCTCTGAAAGCCTGGCTCACACCGGAAGTCCAAACATTTGGGAGGCTGAACTACCACCCCCGGATGAATAATCTCTTAACTTTTTGATTTTCCATCAGTGGCAGCTGAAGTATAGCTTACAGAAGATGCTTCTGGTCTAGAAGATGCTTCCAACTTAGTAAAATGAAATGACCACAGAGGCAGTATCTTATTACTGATAGTAAGAGCCCTCATCTTCGTGCATGTTGGTTAGAAACAGCACATCTAGTTGTTACTGCAGATGACATTTATACTTTAAATTTCATGAAGGGCGTAGGATGGCCAAGACTGACCTCAGCTGACTGCCTGAAGTTGAATCTTGTTCCACCATTGAGCCGCTGAGTTCCACTGGGCAAATTAATTGATGTCTCTGTGCTGCTGTCTCCTTATCTAGAATAGAACTTTTTAAATGTTGCCTCTTGTCATCCCGGATATATAGGTATATAAATCAGGACACAACACAAATCCAGTCTTTATTAGCGATAGATCATAAACGTACTTTATATCGACTCTGGGACACCCACCGAGCCTCCCCATTTATTAAAGTTGACAGCGATTCTGCATGCTTAACAATGGATTGTGCTAGTTTATTTTCTCGTAAAGAATTAAATCTTGGCTGGATCGTTGGAACTTCAGGATGCAGAACATCTTCAAAGTTTTTCAGAGCTCATCCAGCCTTTGATTTCATAACTGTCAATGCTTGAGACCACTGCCTTGCATAAATAACATGCTATAAAATGTTGAGGACCAGTTCAGAAATTGTTAGAAATCCTGTCCCAGTTGAGCCAAAAATTCATTGAATGATTGTCTGTGAAACTCAAGTCAGCAGCTGAAACAGTAATTTTAAAATCAGCATGGCGTCCCATTCCAATCCGTAGACATGTTCATATGATTTGTACATGCTTGGGAATGTCAGTGGGAAAATGGTAAATGTCTTTGCATTCAGTGATTGAACCATGTCTTTTCTGTTAGAGCACGTGCAGTTTAAAACATGGCGGTTCAGCCGGGCGGTGGTGGCGCACGCCTTTAATCCCAGCACTCGGGAGGCATAGGCAGGAGGATCTCTGTGAGTTTGAGACCAGCCTGGTCTACAGAGCTAGTTCCAGGACAGGCTCCAAAGCCACAGAGAAACCCTGTCTCGAAAAAAACAAAAACAAACAAACAAAAAAACATGGCGGTTCATATTGCGCAATAGCGTGGAAACTGAGCCAGGGTATTTAAGCAGGGTTTGCTGGTATTGCGTGGCAGGGCCGCGTGTGCAGTGCCAAGCGCTCGTGTTTCATCTTCAGAATCAAAGATGCAATGAAGCTCTATAAGGGACCTGGGCGAGTGCTAACAGAAACCCCTCATATGTGTGTGTGTGTGGTTCTTGAACTAATTTTTGGTTACCAAGGGTCCGTGGCCCCTGGTTGAGTCAATAATGCCAAATGGGGATATGACCCACAGTCAAGAGTTCTCACACAAACCATAGGATAGCGACTTCTGTAAAGGTGTCTGAGATCATACAGGTGGGATGCTCCAAACAGAGCCCGAGAGATGGATGACAGCAAGGTTCTGTGGTTGAGGTGGCCGTGGCCAAGGGGTGTGAACTTTTCCTTTGGTTTTTCTGTCCTCGGGATTTCTCCTGCTTGCCGTGGCATCCTGGTGCCCCCTCTTGTTGCTTGTGTGAGCTACTTTCCTCATTGCTGTATTTAAATATTTGAAAAGAAGCACTTGAAGGGAGCAGTAGTTTATTGTGACTTATGGTTCAAGGAGGGTGTTTCTCATTGATGGGAAAGACACAATGTCGCAGCTGGAGGCCAGCTGGTCAAGCATCTGCCGTCTGGGAAGAGGAGATAGGGCTGGGCTATCAAACCTCAGGGCCCCAAACTCAGAGACCCACTTCCCCCCAGTGAGGTTCTAACTCCTGAAAGTCCCACAGGCTTCCCAGACAGTGCCACCAGTCAAGGAGCAAGTGCTCAAACCCATGAGCCTGGAGAGGACACTTCACGGCCAATCCACAGCGATCCCCCTAGGCATCCTACTGGCTGTGTAGTCTCTGTGCCATTGCTCTCCACGCAAAGAAGTACCCGTATTTGGTTCTACCCTTTCCTCTGCCTCTCCTGCCAGAAGGGTCTGAAGAAACGCTACGTTTCAATAGGCATTTCACTCGGGGAAATGACATGGGCCATTTGGGGGTACCTATCTGGACAGATTAGGACTAGGTGGCTCTCCCACTTGTCTCAAACCCCTTGGGTGCAGGACTCAGGCTTTGTGCCTTTGGATGAACTACAATAAGTTAGCCCTTTGTAGTAGGCAGATGTCGCCCTTGCTGCTAGAATGCCCGGTTTGATAAATCCCCAAAGTACCACCCCCGTATGACCCTATTTTGCCTTTCTTCGCTTTTGACTGTGGGGAAAGGGTGGCAGCAATAAGGTAATAGAGCACTAAAATACATGGCTTGCACAAGTAACTATAACTCACAGGTTTGTGAGTTTTATTCAGATTTGTTCTCATCCCCTCTTTAACCCCCCCCCCCCAAAAAAAAGAGTCATCGTAGGTTGAAACCGATGCTCCACGACAGGGTAAAGAAGTGATACCCAGGTAGAACTGTCTTCCATGCTCTCATACTCAAAGGTCAAGGGCCTCGCATTTCCAAACCTCATAGAAAAAGAGAAACAAGGTTCCCTTTAGCACTGAATTAGAGTCGTGTGTCCCTCAGACACGGGGCAGCTAACGTCCCCTGCATTTGTCATATGGCGCCGTTGCCTCGCAGGCTCACTGGCCTTGTGTTTCCGCCTGGCGTTTAGGATGACCAGACCCCGCTCCACATCTCAGCCCGGCTGGGGAAGGCGGATATAGTGCAGCAACTGTTGCAGCAAGGAGCGTCGCCCAATGCTGCAACCACCTCTGGGTACACCCCGCTTCACCTTTCGGCCCGAGAGGGGCATGAGGACGTCGCTGCGTTCCTTCTGGACCACGGAGCATCCTTATCCATCACAACAAAGGTATGAGGACTTGGCTCCCGAAGCACACCCTTCTTTGGAGTCTCCCGCCCAGTGATGGGTTAAGAAGCTGTGGTTCTGGGTCTACAGTGGGACCCCTAGGCTAGTCATGGATGTGGCCAGGGAAGCCTTGCTCAGCAGGAAGTAGTTTTTCAGGTTTGAGGAATTTTTTTTTCTTTGTTTCTTTGTTGTTTCTCGATATATTATCTTCTAAGGATACCTTAACGACATCTAGGATCAGAGGGGATATTTTTGTTTTGTTTTGCAAATTACTTGAGAGGTTTCAATGGCAATTTGGAACACACCTGCTCATTTCCTTTGCTGAAATCAAAAACACTACACACTTAGTCTATTGGTGCTTTTGTACAGCTATCTTTTCTTTCATTTTGTTTTGGTTTGGTTTTTGTTTGTTGGATTTTTTTGGGTTTTTTGTTTGTTTGTTTGTTTTGTTTTTAAGACAGGATTTCTCTGTGTAGCCCTGGCTATCCCGAAACTTGCTCTATAGACCAGGTTGGCCTTAAACTCAGAGATTCACCTGCCTCTGCCTCCCAAATGCTGGGATTAAAGGTGTGTGCCACCACAGCCGGGCTTCTATACCTTCAAATAGGGAGAGGTTTCTCTTGTTTTTGTTTGTTGTTGCCTCTCCTTTTGATTTATGGTTTGACATCTTGGTGTCATCGAGTAATATTCTCCCGTGGCTATAGCTGCACAGAGAATGCAAAATGGTTTGCTTGTTTCTATATTTGATTTTTATGAGAACTGCGTGGACATAACAAAGTGTCACAGCTAGACAAACTGGCCTATGACATGTCCTGAGAAGAGTGACAGGTGCTGAAATCTCTTTGCCGTCTGTGGATAAGAAGGACTAGTGTATAATTAATACAACAGTGATTATAAATACTTATAGAAGAAAAGCACCTGAATAAACAGTGATGGTCCCAAACTTCATCTCCCGTGATTTCTTGGGCTCTTTAGGAGAGTCAAGTCACACATCACAAGATCCTGGATGTCATTTAGAATGGGAAACAGAATAATGGGTGTTGGGGGGGTCACAGGGCACCCCGGCCATCCTCCATCCCAGCTGCCCCCTGGATGTAGTTAGCAGTAGTCTTGTAAGATAGTATATGGTCACGTTCCAGTTTCTGATTAAATCCTCTCTAATGTTGGGTGTTGACTGACTAGTTGATGTCTAGATCCTTGCAGGGTCTGGACTCATGGGAGATCAGTCAGGGACTGTAAGCATCCAACTCTTGTTGGTGTCATTACCCAGTTCACCTCAGGGAGCAAAGACTCCCTGAGGCAGGAGCATACGTGATGAAATTGTGTGTATCGAGAGCGTGCACAAAGAAATTGTGTGTTTCCGTGGGGAAGCAGGGAGCAGGGGAAGGGACATGCTCTCTGCTGATGTGAGCCCACAGAGCGTCCAGACTTAATATGGGGTTTCCCAAGTGTAGGCAGATTTTCCTTTTGGCCTCCAGCCCACAAAAAAATGATAGAGACTTATTATTAATTATGAAACCTCAGCCTATAGCTTAGGTTTGTCTCACTGGCTCTTATAACTTAAAGTAACCCATTTATATATTAATTTATGTTTTGCCTCGTGGCTTTTTACTTCTCTTCCATCTTGGCACCTCCTGCTTCCTCTCTCTGTCCTCTGTCCTCTCTCTTGCTCCTGGATTCATCTCCTCTTCTCACTCTGCCTGGAAGTCCCGCCTAACCTCTTCCTGCCAAGCTACCAACCATTCAGCTCTTAATTAAACCAATCAGAAGGCACCTAGACAAAGACACATCTTATCTTCACAACATACAAAAAGATTATTCCACAACACCCAAGCACACCAACATGGGCCTAAAGTGGGGCCTGTGCAGGCCTTTCTTCCCACAGCATGACACCCCCCAAATAGCCCTGGAATAATTACCAGATCCGGCTTATCAAATACACCTGACTAATTCCTAAATAAGTGAACAGTGTGGTTCAGTCAGCAGAGGGAAAAATATTTTCCTTGTTTTCCGAGGTGTCCAACCTTCTGATGGCGTTACACGACCCCCTGGTCTACAACTGTGTTTGGCCACAATCCCAGCTATCTTGAGACACCTCTGGCCCCACAGGCTGCAGCTTAGACACACCTGTTAGGCATAGTCTGCTTGTCGCTATGGATCAAGCAGTCTTCAATTGCTGCCTGCTACCGGCTCTTAACACATTTCATGTAACCCATCTTTGTCGCTGGAATAAGCCATCAGCCCCAAGAAGCCCCATCCTGTGTCACCTCCATTCGTGATGCTCTCCCGCTTCCTTCCTCAGAAGGGATTCACTCCTCTCCACGTGGCTGCGAAATACGGAAAGCTCGAAGTAGCGAATCTCCTGCTGCAGAAGAGCGCCTCTCCGGATGCTGCTGGGAAGGTATGACGTCATCAGCCACCCTGTGGCAGGCCACCTCCACCATAACAGACCAGCACTTGCTAATATCTTAACCCCACCCACCTCCCAGCCACTTTGATGGTAACTAAGCCTTAGTGAAGTCTCACTAGGTGGAAGAATACTTGGGACCCCGTGAACAGTGCGGGGGGGGGGGGGGGGGTCCACATACACTAGAACCTGAACGGGAATGCCGTTGTCTTTTGTATGCGGTCTAACCCCATTTCATGAATCTATCAGTCTCCTACTAAGACACCTTTGACCCTGGTTGTTGTCTCTGCACGTGTTTTCAGAGCGGGCTAACTCCACTGCACGTAGCGGCACATTACGATAACCAGAAAGTGGCCCTTCTGCTTTTGGACCAGGGAGCCTCACCTCACGCAGCCGCAAAGGTACTTGTAACTCACAGCCTAAGAACCGAGTGTGCATCATCTATCTGTCCCTATACAAGCATCCCCTCTTGCTAATTCTGTAATGTCCTCATTGTTTAGACCTGGCTCATAAAAACTGCTTACAGAATTGCCAGGAAGACGTGTGCCTTGTGCTACGTAGTCACCTCATGTGGTAGATGCTCAATAAATACATGCTTGTCAGTCAATTCCTGGACGATGGGGAGGGAAGGGAGCTGGAATCCTCCTCGGCCAGTTTGAAAACATAAGCAGAGTCTAAGGGAATCGGAAACTCTGACTTGTGAGAATGAGATGTCCCAGCTTGGTAAAGTGCTTTCTACAAGAGCTTAGGTCCCTGAGTGCAGATCCCAGCACCCCTGTAAAGAGCCAGGCGTGGAGGCACGCACCCGTCCCAGAGCTGTGGAGACAGACAGAAGGATCGGTGGGGATTGCTGGCAACTTATCTAGTCTAATGGCCAAGCTGCAGAGTCAGTGAGAGACCCTGTCTCAAAAGGATAGGGTGGAAAAGCAACTGAGGAAGTAATTCAACTTCAGTCTCTGGCCTAAATACTCTCACACACGCGCACGCATGCATGCACACACATACACTCACACACATAAAGTCCTGATTTATCAAAATTTATGAAAACGCACATCACATTTTCTTGGCCAGAAAAACACTGCCTGCATGTGCTTTGTGCCTCACAGAAGAGCCTAAAGGGTTTCCTGTGGAGGGGTATGAGGTGGTTGTTACTGCTGAGGGGACCATTAGTCATCTTGTTAGGGAATTTTTGGGCAGTAGACATCTTAGATTTCTGAGAAGGAAACACCAAGTGTAGTGTACCAGCTCTTGTGTTGCCCTATTATTCTGCCCTGACGTGCTGGAAGCCGAGCACATGTTTGGTTGCTGACTGGGTTGCTGTGACACAACACTGAACCAGTACAAACCTGATTCTTAGATTTTTTTTTTAATTCTTTTATTGTGTTTATTGTTCAAAGGACCGTTTGGCATCCGTAATATTCTTGAGCCATGCCTTGAGAGTTCTTCATTGTTGGGTCATGTTGGTCACATCACAAACCAATGAGCCTGGCCTGTTCTAGGTAGCAGTGCTGTGGGAAAATGTTCTGGACACTTCCTCCATGAAAGAGGATGTTGCTGCTGTGGTGGTGGGCTTTTGTGATTGTTGTCGATTTGTGTGTGTGTGTGTGTGTGTGTGTACATATGTGGGGGTCAAAGGAAGACTTGCAGGAGTTGGTTCTCTCTTCCTACCATGAAGGTTCCAGAGTCATAGGTTTGGCACCCACTGCCTCTACCTGACCTGCTCTCTCCTCACCCCAGGGTGCAGGTTTGTCCTCAGAATTTCCTTTCTGTATTCTTTGGTCATTTGTTCTACTCAGTAAAATATGCCCAAAAATCAGATTCGGAATACTTTAGCCCAGTGTGTCAACCTTGGCTTTGGCCCTGTCCTGAAGAAAGCTTTCTCACCTATGCCTTTGAAAAACAAACAAACAATAACAACAACAATCCTGTTTATCACTTTAGTCAGCGTGTGAACCTGAGAGAGTGGAACCTAAAAGTCAGGCAGACGAAACTTGCATGCAAGAGCCAACGCTGTGCAGAACGTCAGACAAGTTAAACTTGAGGATTGAGAGTCACATGAGCAGTGTCCAGCCACAAGGGTAAGCCTCGCGTGGTGGACAAGCCTCATGTCACAAAAACCATGCTTTTCCATGGAGGCACATAAAGAAGTAACAGCAGCCAGCTGTAACGAATAATCTAAAGCAAACTCGCTCCTGTTTGCTGCACCTGGGAAGGGCACGGAAACACTTTCCAAGAACAATTGCATCTTTTTGGAGAAACTGGTCACAAGACTCTTGTTTTCTTGGCATTTTCTCAGAAGCGCTCAGAATTCCCCTTGCACGACTCCTTTCTTGAACCTGTGTTCTGACCAAAAAAAAAAGAAAAAAGAAAAAAAAAACAATAAACAAAACCTTGAGAATAAAAGACAAGACTTTAGAAGGAAAAAAAAATAAGGAATAGAAAGAATCATTAGGACAACCCAAAGAGTAAAGTAGTCTTGTCTCCATCAGCATAGGCATGATTAAAGCAAAGATAGGCTGTAAGTATGGGAGAACTTCAGCCATAATCACTTGGGGCTGAAAGCTGGCTAACTCATGATCTTTTCTTTCTTCTTTTATCGATGTTGTTTGCTTGTTTGTTTTTGAAACAGTGTCTCCTCGCATAGCCCTGGCAGGCTTCAGCTTCCCAAATGCTGGAATTGTAAGCATGCACCACCACACCCAGCTCGGTTAAATGTTCTGTCCCTTGTAAAAGTAAAACCACAGGTGATGACTGATAAGGATCTCACAATGCCTTTACCACCTGCCCTGTTAATGTTAGGCATGTTGGCTGGTCCTTCTTCTGTTAGTGTTGCCTTGTGAAGTTTCTCTTTAGTGGAGGGGTAGAAGGTAGCTAGCTGTCTCCTGCCCCCGTGTCTTATACTGTAGCCTTGGACACAGTCCAGTGCTCTGCTGGCCCGCGGAGGCACGGGTCTCTGAAGGGTGTGTCTGAGTATTTGGTCAGAGGGCCAAATGCTTCTCAGGGTAGCTAGTGTTTCCACATGGCATAGGTCAAGACTAAAAATAGGAATCCAAAACCTCCTCCTGCCCTGGCTCAGCCAGGCGAGGACTCTGGAGGACATCTCCACGCTGTACTTCCGCTTGCTATGGTCAAGTTCATGTCTGTATCGTAGTGCAGTCTTGTATTTGTTATGGAGGGCGCTTTCTCAGGTCAGACACTCAAGGCTCCTGAGGCCCAGCTCATCAACAGGAAATTTCATCTATAGCTGAACATTAGGGGCCAGCTGAAGAGAAAATGGCACAGGTTCTGACTGTGGAGGCTCCTTTCTTCACGCAATCTGCATGTGCCTATTACTTTGAAACACGTACTGTGAGGAAACCACAGCCTGTGCCTCAGTAGCTTCAGACTACAGTAAGAAGTAATATATATGTAAATAAGAGTGCGCCACTAAGTGATCCAGTACTGAGGCTAAAGACACAGTGGTTTCTGGGTGTTAGAAATTGATCCGTGAAAAGAGGCAGCCAGCTTCACTAAGGGTGTAGCCCCTGGGTTGACTGTTCAATGCTATACGCCATCTTCATAGACAGGCTGTGGGAAAGCATTCGTGATAGAGTGAAGCAAGCCAGAGAAACCTGAGATGATGACCTCTCTGGACACCCGCAGGGTGACTGGTGGCTCTGGGTATCAAGTACAGACAGACAGACCACCAGCAAATAATGAGAAAAAAGCAACTCCCGTCAAGATTAAAGATTGTGACTTGCGGGCAGTACAAGATGTCTTTGTTCTTTGGGGCTGCTCGGGCAACACATTGATAAGGAGCAGAGGATTTCTCGCTGTTCCAGAGCTGGGAAGGTCAAGACTGAGGAGTTCACATCCAGCAAGGGGCTTGTTGCCCATGACTGAAAGTAGAAGGGCAAAGAGAGAGAGAGTAGCGGGGAGCTAACTCGTCTTCTCAGAAGCTTATTCTCTATAGCCTTGCAAACCACCCCCTCCTTAGCCTACCCTCTCCACAGCCCATTCCCTCCACAAACCGCCCCCTCCATAGCCCACTCCCTCCATAGCCCAGCTCTTCCACAACCCACCCCCTCCATAACCCACTCCCTCCACAGCCCACCCTCTCCACAGCCCCTTTCTCTATCTCAGCTTCAAGAGCATCCTTGAAGGGCAGGTCCTCCTGCATCCTCACCACCTCTTCCAGGTTCCACCTCCCAGCACCATTGCATTGGGTCCAGAGTTCCCAGCACAGGAAGACAAGGGACTCCTTTCAAACCATAACAGATAGACACTAAGCTGATTTGAAGACTGGAATTTTGAACGGCTCTGAGCATGTCCCCGGGAAAGCGTATGGCTTGCTCTTCTAACCCCAGTCGAAAGATACAGTAGTATTTATTGAGCATCTACTACCATAGGTTTCCTCTTCAAAAACCAATAGTGCACCAGCTCTGGAATTTTAGATTGCAGTTCTTCCTACTCGGAACTGCACTCATGATACGATTTGGTTTAGCACCATTTCTTACTCGTCATAGTTTTTCATCCAGCTAAGAGCGATCCACTAGAAAAGGAAGCATGCTCTTTGAAAATGTATACCGTATACATTTTTTTCTCAGTACTAGACATGATTGATTGGTTTTGACAGAATGGTTATACACCACTGCACATTGCGGCCAAGAAGAACCAGATGGACATAGCGACTTCTCTGCTGGAGTATGGTGCTGATGCGAATGCGGTTACCCGGCAAGGGATTGCTTCCGTCCATCTCGCAGCTCAGGAAGGGCACGTGGACATGGTATCGCTGCTCCTCAGTAGAAACGCGAACGTGAACCTGAGCAATAAGGTAACTTCCTTCTTGTTCTTCTGCAAAGCCTACAATCCAATAGAAATTAAAGCCTCAGAAAAGTCTAAACGTTGATTGAAATTTGGGGGTCAAGTAGAATAGGCAAGGTTGACAAGATGGCTCAGCAGGCAAAGGTATTTGTTGACAAGCTTGATGACCTGAGTTCAATCCCAGAACCCACACGGTGGAGGGGAGAACTGACTCACACAAGTTCATTAATAGAGCAAGAACATTACCATATAATGCTGTACACCGTATAATAATTATCCTTGACTTTTTGCTGACATTAACCCCATTGATCATGTATTAAAACTCCAGTGTGGTTTTGTTGTTAGAGTCTTTGATGTTTAGTTGGGGTTACCCACATATGTTGGGGGAAGGCAATATGCTCACTTATCTTTGCTTTAGAAATATCCCTACAAAAAAAGTGAATGAGAAGGGAGGGGGCCCAGATGCATCAAAAGTCACAGTCCTGAGCAACATCAAGTTTGTGATGAGCACCTCTGTCACCCTGGGGTACCCTGGAATTTTTTATGGAGCCTCTGGTCAGCACTGCTGACATAGTGTTCATACAGAGTGTTCCATGTCCTTACTCTGTAGATTTTTCTTTTTAAGGGTCAAGGCTAACTATTAGAATTCACATGCCAAATCTCAAACTAAGCCACATGTATACACTCATCATGACTGACATCCCTGGAATCTCTTGCAGAGTGGCCTCACCCCACTCCATCTGGCTGCTCAAGAAGACAGAGTGAATGTGGCTGAAGTCCTCGTCAACCAAGGGGCCCACGTGGATGCACAGACCAAGGTACATCTCCTTTCCCACCCAGCAAGGAAGGAGCCCTACCAGGTGGCCCTGGAGTGATCGACCTCAGTGGGAAAGCTGCAGCCATGGCAGAGACAGAAAACTGCCCTGGTCTTCCCAGCCATAGACAGCACTTCCATTCAAGGGCCGGACTCTGACCATGGTGTTTCAGACACTCCCATCTTTACTGGCCCAAGCTCTTCCTTAGCTGCGTGGTAATATTCTGTATTATTACCAGGAATCCTGTCACAGATCTGCTTCCGAGGCAGTGTGCAAATGTTGTAGGTTTTATAAGTGACTTTAAAAAAAAGAAAGAAGGAAGTACTGGGATTAAAGACCTGTGCCATCACCACCCTGTTTGTATGTATGTTTGATATGCATTCTGGTATTAAACAAGTTCTCCTGTTTGCAATGCACCCATCTTATTGACGGAGGCATCTCCCATCTCCATGGTTCCATTACTTTTCAAATAATAATTTAAATTTTATGTATGCATATATATTTTTAAAGAGAAGAATAGTCAGGGGAGAAACAAAACAAAACAAAATGAGAAAGAGTGGAAGGCCCCTGAGAGTCACTGGGTGTCAATCTAAGGATGGATTGGTTGTTTTGTGTCGTCATTGGTTTTCAAACTGTGGGGCTGCAGGGAAGACCTGGGTAGGCTCTCTTTAACCAACACTGTGGTCCTCGACTTTCTTAATGCTGAGACCCTCCAATACAGTTCCTCGGGTTGTGGTGACCCCAACCATAACATTATTTTTATTCCTACTTTTTTTGCTACTATTATGAATGGTAATGTAAATAGCTAGGTTTTCTGATGGTCTTTGGCGGCCCCTGTAAAAGGGTAGTTTGACAGCACCACCTCACCACCACCACAAAGGGGTCGTGACCCACAGGTTGAGAACCTCTGACTAAGAGCAACTCTACCAGGATCAAGTTCATACTTAGACAACAAGAGCTCACATCTTAACTGTTTCTATGCTCCTGCCTGCCCACAGTGGGCCTTTTGCTTTTTACTCCTCCAAGTTCTCACTATGCAAACCTGGCTGTCCTGGAAGTCACAGAGATTTGCCCACCGCTGCCTCTGAAGTCCTGGGATTAAAGGAATATGCCTCTCCATCACCCCTGCCCTGGTCCCCCAAGCTTGTCACTTAGCCATTTTGTTAAGAGGACAGAGCGGTCAATCAACCCTAACCTAGTCTGATAATACAACACTCTCTGGTGACATCAACCAGTTAGAGTACACCTGTCTAGAGGGCTGACGTAAGGGAAAGTTAAATGCCTATTTTTATATTCAATCAGATATATTAAGACTAACTCTGAAAAGGGCAATTTTTGTTATGGGGGAAAAATCTAAAAAAAAAAGTATTTTCCAACTCAAAAGGAACATTGAATAATACTTTACTTCCGTTAATACTTTACTTCCGTTTAGGATTACTTGTTACTAAAAGTGCACTTACAATGTTTCTTTTTTTATAAAATGTAATTACAGATGGGCTACACGCCACTCCATGTGGGCTGTCACTATGGAAACATCAAAATAGTCAATTTTCTGCTGCAGCATTCCGCAAAAGTTAATGCCAAAACAAAGGTGGGCGCCTCCCCCTTCCCTTCCAGCCAAATCCTTGGCTTTGTGTTCAAGGAAGCAAGCGCGTGTCATTTCTCCATTCTTCCTTCTGCAGAATGGATACACACCCTTGCACCAGGCAGCTCAGCAGGGCCACACGCATATCATCAACGTCTTGCTTCAGAACAACGCCTCCCCCAATGAACTCACTGTGGTAAGCTGTGGGCCCGCGCTGCAGGGCTGGAGGAGACAGAGGGGCTCTGGCGTCTTCTCCCATTTCGATTGCACACCGGCTGCTTCTCAGTGATACGTTGTATAGAGCCTTCAGCGGGGTCCCATGCCGTGGGCTCTTCAAACAGCAGTGGTAGACCAGGGTTTCACGCTCTAAAAATACTCGCTTCCTTGCCACTTATAGAAGCACATGAAAAAGAAAAACGATATTTATGTCCCATTGACTATTGACATGGAACCACACACATGAAGCTGCTTGGATGCTGAAGCATGGGTAGGAACAGGAGAGCTGGACTTTCACAAAGTATGTTAGTTAGTTATCTTTCCGTCGCTATGGTGAAATACCTGAGGCAAGCGACTTAATAGAAGGAAAGTCTTTCTTTGCCTGGCGGTTGCGCAGATGCCAATCCATGATCACTGGACTTCATCAGGTTGAGTCTGTAGTGAGATTGGACATTATGGTAGAGAGTGATTACCATGGCCACCAGGAGGCAAAGAGAGAAAGGAGGAGTCTGGTGTCCCAATACACCCTCTAAGGACATACCCAAGGTGGCCTAATTTCCCTCCATTAGTCCCAATGTGCCAGTAGCACCAACATCTTCAAATACATGGCCTTTATGACATTTAGGATTCCAACTATAAAATTATGTCACTAATGTAACTTTTCCATTTTTTTTCGTGTATGACAGTTGTCTTGGTGTGATGAGACGCTGGTCTTGCATTGGTTGTAGGCTGTAAGCGGAGTTTCTCTGTATCCCGACAGCCACTTCCAATTTATCTCTCAGAGACTTATTATTAATTGTAAATGCTCAGCCAATAGCCCAGGCTTGTTACTTGCTAATTCCTACATTTTAATTAACCCATATTTCTTACCTAGCCTCTGACACATGGAAGTACCTTCTTTCAACACGACACCTTCATCTTGCTTCTTTCTGCCTCTCGCAAGTCCTCAGATTCCACCCTTCTGCTTCCTGGTCTCCTCAGTCTGGTTCTCCTGCCTATCCTCACCCTGTCTGACTGTTGGCCAGTCATCTTTTTTATTAAACCAATCGCAGCGACAGATATTCACACAGTGTAAAGGAATATTCCATAGCAGGCTGAGTAACTTTGTCCACATTTTCCCGTTTCCAGAATGGAAACACAGCCCTGGCCATCGCCCGGCGCCTCGGCTACATCTCAGTGGTCGACACACTGAAGATTGTGACAGAAGAGACGATAACCACCACCGTGAGTAATGGATATAGAACTTTCTTACTCTGAAAGCCAAGTTCCCAGATGGCAGTTTCTCTAGGCTTTTTTAGAACACTCTTTCTTCCTCCTTTCATAGACTAAGTACCACATTTTAAAATAGTATCACCTTATTCTTGGCAGCCAATATAGCAAAACCTTTATTTCTGGTATGAACAAAGTTTGAAACACTAAAACAATGTATCTTGTAAAGTTGCATGGCTATGGAACTGAAGAGATGGCTCAGTGCAGAGGACCTGCCTAGCATCTGTCTCAGGCAGTGGTCCACAGTAACTCCAGCTCCAGGGCTTCCAGTGCCCTCTTCTGGCCCTTCTGAGCGCTGCACTCACATGCTCAGACACACAGATACATAGACACCAAAATAACTAGTAAAATGTATCTTGGAAAAATAGTTATGTAAGCAGATAGTTTTTGATTCCATATTATACAAATAAATTTGTTTGTTTTTTTTTAATTTTGGCATTGTAAAAACTTTGAGAACTTTATGTAAGCTCTTTAAAATATTTGTTATTTTTGCAAAAAATAATGTTTTCTTAAAGTTATAGGTAGATAAAAATTGACATTCTTATTTTTTTGAATACCTGTTTGGGCTTTCCTAGGGAAACCAATATTTTCCTTAAATTTTAGAGTAAACATTTACCAGATGGCCCTACTAGATACATTAAAACAAATTTGTATTACATTTCATTGTGTGTGTTGGGGGTACACACCTGCCATGACATGTATGTGGAAGTCAGAGGATAACTTGTGGGAGTCTGTTCTCTCTTTCCACTATGTCGGTTCTGGGGATTGAACGAGGGCTATCCCTCAGGCTTGTCAGCAAGTATCTTTCCATATGAGTTATCTTCCCCAGCCCTTCACACACACACACACAAAACAAACAAACAAAACCAAAACCCTTCGTAAATCACTTTAACCCTGTCTGATGCCTTTGACCTAGATTTGGCAGCTTTGGGATTAAGAACAGTTAGGACAGTGGAATTTGGGGTTATTGTCATCCTTTCTTTTTTAACACCTCCCCGTCTGAAGGGAGACGTGGCTATGATGCATAGCTTACTTTGCATGTGCAGTGCTTTATATAGAAAACCGTGGGCTAAGGCTGTCTGCAGCTACCTGCCGGCTGCGTTACTTGGCAGTTCGCGGGCTTTCAGAACTATAAAATAAATCTGCTGAGTACAAGAGAGAAACTGTATGGCTTACGAGGTAGAAAATGCTCACTAACCAGGATCTATTTCGATCATTACCACGGAGTTTAGGACAAAAATTGCACTCATCAGTTCATACTTTTGAAATCTACAATCTGTTACTGAGTTCTTGTGGATATTTTTGTTAGTGTGTGTTTTGTTTTGTCTCGAGACAGAGTCATGCTATGTGGGCTAGGTTGGCTCAAACTCACAGAGCCGTTCTGACCCCAGAGTAAAGGCGTGCACTTCCATGCCTGCTGACTATCATTAAATTCTTAGAGAACATTTTCTAGCCTTAATGTTCTGGATTTGCTGTATAGCTCTCCCTAGGAGAGGAAATAGGAGAGAAACAAGCTGTTTAACAGTAACCAAGTGTCTTGATGCTACAGACATTTGAGTCATTATAATAATACATCAGATTGCTGTCTCAGCATAGAGGACAGTCCTTGTCTGGTAATTCAAAATACAAATCATAATTGAATTCTTCACCCATTGGGCTATTTCACACTGTTTATGTGAAATAAAAATAAAAGCTTTGGGCTAGAGAGACTGCTCAGCTGTTGGGCTCTCCAACTGCTCTTCCGGAAGACCTGCCGCGCGGTTCCCAGAACCCACACTGGTGGCTCACAATAGCTGGTGACTTTGGTTTGGGGATTCAGTACCGTTTTCCGGCTCCCCACAGCCACCTGTGTGCATGAGTATATATGTGTGCACACACATATACGTACATAAGTAAGATATTTTAAAAAGGCAAAACACTAAAAGCGTTACGGTACCCTCGAGGGTTGATTCGTGAAGTACAGGCGAGGCTGAGGTAGAGTCTCAGTACAGCACAGCAACCACCAGCCCTAGAGCGGCATAAATGAGAAGGTCAAGAAGGACCAGGCTCCAGCCGGAGCCGACGGCAGTGGCGGCACTTCGTATGTGTGTCACCACTAAATGAGGGTGGAGGTCAGAAGGTAATGCATGCTAAAGGCAAGGGCCAGACTGTCCCAGGAAGAGAATATGGCCTCCCCGAATACTGTAGGTGCTCACGGTGTCCAGCAAAGAAGCCAGTTCTAAGAATTATTCCACTCTTCTAGTGCTTGAGACTGTCGCCAACTCAGACACCGCCTTTCTGCCCTCTCTCGTGTTTGGGTGTAATTCCCTTAGATGGGAGCTGTGTGCTTTTTGGGTTGGTATCTGTAATCTTAAAATAATTAGCACAGCTCAGCCCTGACCACGCTCACTGTCTTCTTGGTCTAGCAAGTTACCAGGACCTCAGCAGCCACCGTTTCTAGTAAGAGACTCCTCCACATAGAGACAGTTCATGATGTGACCATCCTGAGAAAGAAAGTTAGTAAATTCTTTCATGGTCACAGCGGCGTGAGGAACCAAATGCCAAGCTTCAGGAGGAACAATTCTTCCTTTAATGGCATTAAAGGTGTATTTCACTTGATTACATTGCTTAAAATATTCAATTTCTCCAGCCCCAATCAGAAAACATCTAACACCCAGCTGTCAGTGGCTAGCACCTCTCTCTGCAGAAAGGAACCAGGGCTCCTGGGAGAAATAGCTAGCCATAGGACTGGAGAAGGATTGCTCCAAAGTTAGTGTCCTCACTTTGCTTCCATTGCTATGGTAAAAGGCCGACCAGAAGCAGCTTTGGGAGCAGCGCCAGTTAGCTGAACTTACGGGTTAGTCTATGGGCGGGCTACAGTCCACCATTGAGAAAAGCCAGGACCAGGAGTTCCAGCAGGAACCTGGAGGCAGGAACTGAAACACAGGCAGTGAGAAACACAGCCTACTGGCTTGCTCCCCATGGCTTGCTCAGGTACCATTTTTACACAACCCAGAACCAGCAGCCAAAAGTGGTACCATCCGCAGTGGCCTGGGCCCTCCCACATCGATCATTGATCAAGAGTACCTGCAGGCCTATCAGATAGACGTAATCCTCCAGTTGAGGGTCCCTCTTTCTAGGTGACTCTAGTTTATGTCAAGTTGGAAAAAAAACCTAATCTGCACATCAAGGAAGTGCACTGTCCTCACTACCAAAGCTAAACGAAATATGTGAATACAATGATGGGAGGGGATATCATACCACAAATCAATAGGAAGAGTTCATGATGACCAAGGCTGGGACACTTTATCCAAAACATTATAAACAAAACAATATTCGAGCACAGTCCAAAGTATGAAGCAAATATAAGTGAGTTCATACCGGTGTAAGCGAACAGCTGAAAGTGTAGGGAAAATGTGCAGGTACCTGAGGGTAAAGAATTACAAAGAGTACAGGACATTCCAGGCATTGTCGGAATACTGAATAAGTACATTCTCTTAACCACTGAGCCATCCCTCCAGCCCCTGCTTTCAGCTTTTTAGCTTACGTGATACTGCTGTTGTCTTTTGAGTAGGCGTGGATTAAAAAGTTAGAAAGTAACTGAAAGAGGAAGCAGGAGCCGGGGAAGGCACTCGCCCTGTAACTTGGTGTTCTTGATGAAGCTTTTCTGGAAGCTGATATGATCCTGCAAATGTGTTGCCTTCAAAATGTTTTTAATGCACGTAGTTATAAAATATGCATAACTTGCATAATGTTAATAGTGTTCTGTATCCTGTCCATGGAATGGACACGTAGTTGGGAATGCAAAGGAAGCAAAAGGCTTGGCACGAAGAATAGTGACAAATTCCTTGCTATTATTTTGGGCTGTCTTCTTCGATGACCCTGGGTGGGATGTGATATTTGGTCCTGGCCTAGATGAGCACAGCAATGCTTTCTTCGCTTCCTCTGAAAAAGCCTTATTAGTGACCACCATCTCCGCTCTGTCTGTCCCTGGAAGGCTTCCAAACCCTGTGCTGCTCTGAGGAACATATCTGAGGACCCCCGTGCTGCTCAAGGGGGAGAGCATACTGTGTATAAAGCCTTATAGGTTCTCTACCTGGAAGCCCCACAGGATAGAAATCAATTCAGAAAGACACGAGTAGTCCTCCCTGGAATTGCTAAGTCCATTCGTACTGAAGCAACTGCTTTTTGTTGTTGTTATTGTTCCTAGACCATCACTGAGAAACACAAAATGAACGTTCCAGAAACGATGAATGAAGTTCTCGATATGTCAGACGATGAAGGTACGTCAGTGTCCTTGGGGGGGGCGGGGGGGGTTCGTCATGGTGATGAGTGATTGGGTATCTGTAGCTTCCAGAAAAAAGGCCTTGACCTATGTGTCTTGGGGGAATGTTTACATGTTGTGTTTTGGGGTCGGGGATGAGGATTTTCATACGCTTCTGTTGTCGCTTCAATCATGCAGTTCGTAAAGCCAACGCCCCCGAAAAGCTCAGTGACGGGGAATATATCTCAGATGTTGAAGAAGGTATTTACCCCTCTGTCCTGTGACGAGACTTAACTCCCAACTTCAGCTTTCCTTCCTTAGCTCTCAACAGTAACACTCCCTCGAGTTACTAACGTCTTGTGGAATTTTGAGAATTAATTTGGGGGCCATTTAAAGGCTCACCTACATCCTACCCTCTTCCAGACTCGATTTCTCAAGCCCATTTCCCACCTTTAAGTAGAAAAAAGAAAAAGTCACTCCTTATAAGGCGTACTCTCTTGCTGTTGTTTCTGTCAAGCAGAAAACGGGTCGTTTTATTGCTTGTGTCTGAAATCTAAAATGGGGGCAACTTAACTGTTGATAGTTGTTGGGTTTTGCTTTTTCCTTTAGTGGAAAAGGCGGCCTCACAGGTCACAGACCGAATGCCTGGTCTGCAGCAGACACTGAGATCTCCAGTTAAATCAGCTTTGGACTTGGGACTAAGCTTGGAAATTCTACCCGAATACAACCACTTCTAAACGATAGACTTTCAGTGGTGACTTGGTATATGTTAAGGCTGTATTCCACGTGCTCAATAAAGCTTCTCGTTTTCTGCTTTACTTAAGAGATTGATCCTCTTGACCATGTCCTTCACTTACATATATATGAGTGTGTATATGTGTGTGTGTGTATGTGTACATATATACAAATATGTGCATATGACATGTTTGAAAGGTCTATTGGAAAAATATCATCATATAAGTGAGTAAATACTGTAAGGATGACAAATTTTGGAGCTTCACCGGAATAATGAAGTATTTACTGTATATTATATAAATATATAATATATATTAATTATATAAATATATAATGTATAGTAATCATATAAATATATGATATACAGAAAAGATTATATTTGACTGTTCTGGAACTTTCTATGTATGTAGACCAGGCTGGCCTTGATCAACCTGCCTCTGCCTCCCTGGTGCTGGGACTGAAGGCATTCGTGACCATTGCCCTGACTTTTTTCCTTCCCTGCAATCAGTTTACCCTCCGAAACGTCTTTCTTCCTTCCTGCCCCCCAGCCCCCTCCCCCTGCTTACATAGTACCTTTTCTCTCCTGTGTCCATCTCAAAAGAATTTTAATTCAAACTCACTGGGAGCACAGGCAGTGGGGAAATCTCTCTGATACAAAGTGGCTGTAACTTTGTGACAGCCCACAGCTGCCTAGACAGACACCAGGGGAAGCTGGTGACCAGACGGCACACTTCCAGGAACTGCAGCCCTGAAGCTGTGCCAAGACTCTTGGTTCTCTATGATTATTGATATTCTCTATGATTATTAATAGGTTTTTTTTAATAGACTTTTCCACTGGTTGTGTGTCTGTCTCTTTTATCTCCTGCTGGACTTGGGTCACATCTTCCTGAGATGTCTTGTGACTCGCTGTCATTTGCTGTCACAGTGGATTCTCTTGTCGCATTTCAGAGCAATTTCTCATGTGCCCATGTGTTGTTTCTTTAAAGGGATGTGCTTCCCTGTGTGTACACAAACTAACAGGATTCAAAGTATGTTTTCCGAGCTAAATTAGCATGAGATACAATATGATAGTCATTGTCTGCAGTGTCCCTGATCTTTTAACAAAGTAGCTGAGGTTACCACCCTGATGAGAGGCCAAATTTGAATGGACTGTAATAGTTCTGTTTATGTGGATTAGTTATCAGATAATTCCAAAACAAGTAAAAATGGGATCTTTAAACTTGAATTTAATTCACTTAATGAAGTAGAAATGACAATCATTCCTTTATATTTGCAAACTTAAAATTCAGAGTGGCTTATAATGATCATTTGTGCCTTTCGGTGAGTTCTTTGTATTTTTTCCTCTTTGGGTGTGTTCATGGGTTATCAGAATCATTTGGCTTTAGATTTTATAATGTCATAGAATTAGATACCAGGAATGGAAAGGAGGGATCCCGGAGGTCAATCTACTTGAATACCCTTGTAGCTGGAATCTCTTTTGTTAGAACATTCTTTGCTGTAAAGTATCCGATTGCCTGATCCAGTTTGAATAATCTTCTTTAAAAGTTCTCCCACCTCTCTTGACTTCCTTTTTACTTCTAGCTGGTGAGTCTGATCCTGATCTGTTTGGGCCAGGATGATGAGGATTCGGGTCCCACTGGGCTGTGACATAGGAAAATCTACTCTCCCGTGTCACAGCCCTTCAAGGATTTGAAACATTTAAAGATTATATTCATTGATGGTGTAGAGGGGTGGAATGTGACTGCGCACATGACAGCGAGTATGTGCAGAGGTCAGAGGACCGTTTGTCCGTCGGCTCTGTCCTTCTACCTTGGAGGACCTGGGGTATCAAACTCCGCATCAGGTCAGGTAGCGGGTACCGTCAGTTCCTGAATCATCTCTTTGCTCCTTCAGAAACTTGAAAGTGTTCTCCTACTATCTCATCTTCATTTCCGCTCAGGCTTATCTCAGTCCCCCCCCCTCTCTCCTCCCCCACTCAGAAGGATCTTTCTCCTGTGTCTGTCTCCAGTCTTACATGTCAGCCAAGAATGCAGGTGTCTAACATGGAGCACAAGGCTGGAGCTGTAGTCTGATTAAGGCCGAACCATATAGCAAGGCAAGTGATTGCTTGCTCCATGGAAGACACTGAGGACATGTTGTTGAGTCAGGCATGGTGGCTCACACCTTTAATCCCAGCGCTCAGGAGGAAGAGGCAGGTGGATCTCTGAGTTCAAGACCAGCCTGTTCTGCAGAGCTGAGTTCTGGGACCGCCAGGGCTACACAGAGAAACCCTGCCTTGAAAAACCAAAAGTAAATAAATAAATATTACTGTTGGCGATATCCCCAAGTTTTCCTAACTTGAGCTCTGCCAATCATCATTTTCCCAATCAAGTGTATATTCTTCTCTGTTATGCGAAGTAGCATTTCTGTATGACTAAAAATTATCCTAAAACCAATTGCTATGAAATTTTCATTTTAAAATAGCTCCTCCAACTTGAATGATAATTTTGACTTCTAACTCACTTGCCTGAGAGTCTCTCCAGTCCTTTAATTGTCTCTAAAGTTAGATTCAGGCCTGCAAGTTTGAGTGAGTTTTGGCTGTGGCGGTGGCAAGTGCTCATTTCCGTGAACCCAATGGAGTTTGAATGAATCGGTGTACCAGAATTAGCAAGAGCCAGACATACGTGTGTTGTGGTATCAGGATGTGGAGGTAGGGGGACCCAGAGATAAAGCTGCAGAGTGAGCTCGGGCAGGCCTAGACTCCATGGCACCCTGTTTACATGAAGAAAGAGGGGAAGAGGGAAGAGAGGGAAGGTGGCGAAGGGGAGGGAGGAAATGACCATGACAGCCCGGTCTGGGCCGCTGAGAATTCTCAGCACCATCTATAAGCAACACAGCTTATCTCAAGAAAGAAAAGGGGGTAGTGTGTAGCGTGGGAGATAGTATACGCTCTAAATCAGGAAAGAATAGCTATTGAGGGGTTCCTGCCAGGAAGTCTCTCCTTCCTTTCCTCACCATTTTCCTGCTTTGCCTCTCCCTTTTCTTTCTTTTGGTCTCCTTTGAGAAATTAATTATAGGTAAGACATGTTTGTTTAATCCTCAGTTAGAGAGAGAGAGGGAGAGAGAGACAGAGACAGAGACAGAGACAGAGAGAGAGAGAGAAAAGCAGGCAGGCAGTCTAGACAGTGCTGGCCCAGGAGGACAATGGAGCAGAGATACAGAGAGCAAGGACCGAAGCATGAACAGAACCAGACCTAAACAGAAGCCAGAGAAGCCTTTTCCACAGTGGGGAGCCCCAGGGCGTGAGCTCTGCAGAGGGGAAAGGGACAGTCTCCTGCCGCCTACAACCCTCCCCGATATCCACGGCATACGTGTGCACAAATCATTAGCTTTATTCTATTGCTACCCAAATTCTTACATTTTACCAATGGGCCTGTAATTGACAAAGAAAGATATGAGGAAAGGAAGAGACCAGAGGAAGAGAAAAAAAGGAACAAGGGGGAAAAGGCAAAAGGAGATGGGAGAGAGGGAGAAAGAGGAGGAGAGAGGAAGATGGGGGCAGGATAGAAGGAAGGGAAAAAGTTGACGTCAAGATCAAGGTCCAAGGTGTTTTCTGGTTTGGGTGGGGTTGGAGAGGTCAGAGGGGATGGGGTGGGGGTGGAGTGGAGCGGAGCGGTGAGGGTGTGGGGAGATGGAGCAGTCAGAGAGGGTAGAGAGGGGTGGGGTTGGAGAGGTTAGAGGGGATGGTGTGTAGGTAATTGGAGCAGTCAGAGGGGGTGGAGTGGGGTGGGGTTGGAGTGGTCAGAGGGAGTGGGGTAAGGTGGGGGAAAATATTCAGAGGGGTGTACTAGTCGTGGGGGTGATGTGGGGGAGGGGTGGAGCCCCATAGTAATTCTGGCTCAGCTTGGACTTGAACTGTAAATTCCTATAATGTGTGTATTTTTATAAATTGGGAACCAAAGTGCACATGTTATTTTAGCTTGCAGAATCCTAGTGGGCTGGAGTCTAATGGCCTTTAAAGAACAATAGATGTCACACGATGGGAAATAGGGTCAAGCCATGGAAAACAAACCAGACAGCAGTGTGCAGAGGAGCTGATCCAGGTCAGGCAGGCCACAGCCTTGTGAGAAAGGATGATCTAACCTGAAGTCACTTACATTTTGAGTGAGCTAGCTGGGCGGTGGAGGTGCACGCCTGTAATTCCAGCCCTCAGCAGGCAGAGGCAGGTCGAGGCCAGCCTGGTCTATAAAGAGAGTTCCAGGACAGCCAAGGTTACACAGAGAAACCCTGTCTTGAAAAACAACATTTTTTTTGAGTGAGCTATGAAATCTCTGCTGGAATTGAATGCAGACAGAAAATACTGAAAGAAAAAAATAAAAATTAAGTTCGCATGTGGTAGAATTAGTTACCAACAAGAAATGAGATTTAGATACAATAAAGCTAATTCCAGTACTTAGGAGGCAGAGGCAGGTGAATCTTTGTGAATTCAAGTTTGAGGCCAGTCTGGTCTACATAGACACACACATTCACACACAGCACACACATAC